TGTTTCCTAACGTTAGGAAACATTAGGAAACAAAACTTCAAGACCACGGCCACACAGCCTGGAAGACCCACACCAGCCATTGTATGCCGGCCGTGAAAGCCTTCAACAATACACAGTATATAATTTGTTAATGGACTAGACTATGTTTTCCTCATAAGATATATCGTTATGTTTTTAGTGTTTCCAAAAAGACAATCCCATTGTGAATTGCAATTTATTATTAACAGCAACAGAACAACTTTGCAACCCCAATTTTATCCCATCCCCATGGCCCCAATGTTATCGCATTCCTGGGAAGCCTTAACCTGCTATTTTCCATACTACAAAACACTAGTTAGATGAACCACAGAATACAGCAAGCAGAGATGATGCTATCATTATGCCAACAGCTCTTTTGATTGCCACAAGTGAGGACAAGCTTCCACTCTGCCTCCCTAGTGAGAAAAGGATCTACATGTGATGTCAAAAAGTCTTGGCCATAAGGCATATTTGTTGTAGAAAGAAGACCAACATTAATCGTAAAATTATGCTTGAAAGTCATTTCCTTTAGTAAGAAGGAAAGTCTAGTTTCTTTGTGATTAAACACAACAGCTGGAGCACAACATTACCAAAGTTCCAATGTGAATGAAACTTTTCCAGCTATCTTTCTTTAAATCAACAGGTTTTTTTCCCCTCCTTCATAAAGTTTGTACTGAGCCAAGTACAGTTTAGATTTAAAGTTATAGAAAAGAAAAAGAATGAACTACAGGCTTTTGACACAGAACCAGATAAAGGCCTGATTTGGATATAATGAGAAATCATGGTTTTCTTTTACAACAGCTGCAGTAATTCTTAGTCACTGTAGACTTTCTGCAATACACTTTAGTCATATATATTTATGGGATTAAACCTCAAAGGACTATTGCTTGTTTAAACCAAGGTTTGAGAACAAGTCAGGATCTGATATGACAATTTCCCGAGTTTGGATGCCATGGGAGTTGCAATTTCTTTAAAACTCCAGATGGAGAAAGGTGGAATTCTTGCCACAATTCTTTCGAGTAGCAAGAAATCTTAGTTTGCTAATATGTACTGTATAAACTAGATACAAATACAGCAACTAACTATCAGGAGGAATCTAAACAAGCCACTCTTCATTTCAGATGTAAATTCATTCAAATATAAATAGATTTTAAGCTTCACTGGGCCAAAGTCAAAGAAAGTATCTAGAACAAATGAATTCCCTGCTGTTATCTCTTGAAACTGTTGTTAGTTTATTATGCTTTTAAGATGATTCTGCTTAGGAACTTGGCTCGTTCTTTTATGCTTTCTGATTACTCTGTTTTCTTGAATTTCTTTTGGGAATAAGAAATAATATCATGTTTAAACAGTAAATAAAACAGTAGGTGCTATGGCAGGCCAAAATAAGGGCCAATGAACTCCTAACCAAAATGATTTATCAACTCTATAATATATGGTCATTTAAAAACAAAAATGGAATCATGTTACAGTTAGGAAATAACTGAGCATTCTCACCTGGATTTAGATTTTCATGTCTGCTTAGCTTCCTGTCTTCAAGGACTGTAACTCTATAACTGTGTTGCATAAGGATTTGCTGATATAACTGAAGATCTTGTTCACTGCCAGAAGAAGGGGTGTATAGTATTACTTCTCTGGCTTTGTTTCTAAAGAATTTAAACATGGTATCCTCAATCTGAAACAAGAAAGAGATATTCATGCATTACATCAAGCAATGAAATGCCAAGGACCATGAGATGATGACATAGAAAACTGGATCAGTTTTTCCTTAGAACTGTTTCAGAGAACCCTGTTATTCACAAAATTACAATAATCATAGAAGAATGTGGGCAATGAACATCTGATGCTCTGCTGACTCCCTTTGGACTCCCTTTCTTATGAATAGTAGTACTGCTGGGAAGGAAGCTCCCATATAGTAATGGCCCAGTTTGTCACTACTTCATTTTGAGAATGGCACAGAAGCCTGACCATAGCTTTCTCATCCCTGGTACATTGCAGGGAATTGGACTACAACTCTCAAAATTCTTTGGTTCACTATATTCACAGAATGCTAAATTAGCAAAACAAGCCCTACCCCAGAGTAGGCATCCTGTGACACACCCAATGTTGCTGAACTGTTACCGCCAGCATTTCTAGGAAATGTGTCCAATGATGAGAGTGACTGCTGTAACTGCTGTTATTCAGCAGTATTTGGAGGGCTAAAGATTGTCAATATACTGCCCTGTACAGTATATTTTCCACATTATCAAGAACTGGTGCATATTTCTGATGTTGCTTAATTTGTTGCTTAAGCAGATGATTTATGTTAAATAATAATCTAACTGTTGATAAGCAGAACATGAATGCTGCATACCATTTAATCAACACTGAGGGTTTTCATAATAGCATGTAAAATTCTGTGTTTCATTTGCAACAAACAGCTTGTTCTACATAAACAGCCCATGATTTGAGACTTCCAGGGGCAGACATAGAAGACCAAACTGAACACACTTTAAATGGAATCTTGGAGGAAGGGAAATTAAATGAAGATTGCTTCAACTGAGGAGGGGGGATAATTAATGAGATTACAACAAGTTTAGAAAGCAAATTTATTTTTTGCTATAGCTTTGCAGAACATCTCCTTCTGAAGGTAGTATTTGACTACAATTTTGTTATCCCCTACAAAAGATAAAACTGGAAGTTAAAAAAGGTGAACAATCAAAGCTTTGGGATTGCTAAATGACTGGCATGCTTACAAGAACAATTGTGCAAACACATGGTTATGAACCTCAGAATGGGCATTGTTGAACAGAAGAAAGGCAGATCTTTCAGAGTAAACAAGTCTAGTTCAAAATGCTTTGAGTTCTTGATTAGCCTGGTTAGTTAGCTATAAAGTGATGTTCACAACAGTCTTTTTATCAGTTACAGGAAGTTGCTTTATGTTACACTTGGCTCAAGTGTTAAATTATTTTCAGGAAGGAGACACATAACTATGTCTAATCTTTGATGAATGACTAATACTTTTCTGGTTTAATACAGAACACACATCTTTTCCAATTACAATCAATACATTTATCACCTGTTAACATATTTTATTCACCTTTTTACTATATGTTTAAGCTCAAGACTATTTAGAATATTCCCATCAAATGCATTGTGTTTACAAGCAAAAGTAATACGAGTGAAAAGGAAGTAAGTGCATGGGAATAATATTACAGTCCTGTAAGTTTATCCTCTCTCTGTCCTTGCCATATTTATAACCCATTTGTCTAATAGTGAGGAATGAAATGCTGTTTAACCTCAAAACACCTCTTCTTCTGGAACAACCTTTCTTCTTTCTATCCTGTTCTACTACTTTCTTATCTTTTCCCTCTCCTATATGACTATTGTCAGTTTGAGATTTACTAAAATCTAGGTTTTTTCCGTACTGAGTACAAGCTGTCTCAAAAATAATAGCACAGTCAAAATTTGGCTATTTGTTCTATAAATCAGAATAAAAATTCTAAAAATGTTTAATAAGTATATATATATACAGAATATAATATTATTAAAATAATCATAATCATAATCATAAACATTGTGATGATTGATATTTATTTAGGTGACTGTCCTATTACTTCCTGCATACTGCCATGTATTGGCTTTGACCAGATTCCAAAAGCCAGAATACAACATTCAGTTTTGAAATTCAGAGGAAGAGTAACAAGGAGAAATTTGCAAGGAGTGGATTTCCATGGAAAATCTTGCTTTCTCTTAGATTCAGAACAAAGTTAATGAACAAACTTATTTTGCAAAATTGTACTGTGTCTTGACTTTTGCAGCATGCACACTAAATAAAACTAATGCTTGTTTTTAAAAAGAATGGAGGACATAAAATGCTACAACTAAAAGCCAAAATATATGCCTTTAAACTTTTGGAAGCCAAAAGACCGACATGCTCTACATTTTTAGTGGAGCATGGTCAAATATGGTTTTCCTAGTAGAGCATATAGCAATACACATATGTGTGTATAGAATTTAACTGTGAACATTGGGGCAGGAAGAAAGAGTTAAAATCTACATTCCCTTCTATATGCCAAAGTTGTGATACCATTGCTCAGCTGATATTTGCAGGCATTTCATAATTCTTATCTGTTCTTATATCTCTTTCTGTCAGCAGTATTTTGCCCCTCTGAAAGGGAGGAGATAATCTTACAAAGTTGTATTAAAATGTTGTTTGTATACTCCAGAATCAATTTTAGTGAGTTGTGGTAGAAAAGTCATGTCAGGAATCAATGTTACAGGCAAGAGCTTTATCATGGAAGAATTGAAATATTGTGGGAATAGAGGGCACCCATTGTTACAACATATAAAACAGCATTTGACAGAAAACAGCAAAATTTGGTCATGTTACTTTATTCAGTTCCATTTTAGAACCAGATTAGTTCACCTTAAGAGGAAGTAAAATCTGAGCCATACTGAGCAGGCTTTGACAGTACTATATCCCTAATTTCCACATATAAAGCCTTGTACTACCTGAATGCAATACTCCTATGAGTCATCTCCTATGATCCAGTGGAATGTGGCAGATGGGAGAATGTTTTCTTGAGTTTACTATCTAAATGCCAGGTAAGAAGAGCCAGCAAGGAAGCACAAGAGACAATTTTAGTAACTTGTCTACCACAGTTACAGTCTGGGAGCCTGCCAAAGTCTAGTTATCTTCACACCTCTCACAAAACCTTTTGATTCATGCTAGCTTTTGGTAATTCAGTTTAAGTCAAAGAATGCCTTGTACCATGAAGCATCAAAAGTTATGGATCAAATCAGTCTTTGTTCATTCATATTGCTCCTTTTATATATATATATTTTAACTAGCTGAAGGGACTGAGATCTTAAAAATAGCATCCAAATACTGAATAAAGTATCTGGGCCACTATGCCTTTTGGTAGCTGAATCTCTTCATTAAACTCCCATTTCCTCCCTAAATTAGTTAGCTTTAACATGTATGATTGAATCTGGGGTCATAATAATTATCATAGGCTTCTCTGTTTTCTATCATAACTTTGTAGGTGAGGTGCTGAAGGCATTGGAACAGATCCCTTGGTAGAGGTAAGTAGATACTGGGTTCACTACTCTCTGGATAGAGAGATGTGTGACTGGATGAATTCTGTCCCCAAACCCATAAGTGGCCCCAATTATACTTACCTAAATCTGACTACCTATTTCCTGCCATTTGACATAATCTGAAAAATAAAGAACTTGAATTTCAACATTTCAAAAGATTTCCCCAAATGAATGCCAAACTCAGAAAAACAGTTCTGTAAGAACTATACGCTTATCAAAATGAAGAAATAAAGAAGTCTTCCAGATCAAGAGAGAAAGAAAAGGCCAGAAAGCCAGAAAGACACCAACAAGTGTGTGAACACAATCCCACCCTTTTGTGTCATTAACCCACTGTAACCAGGGTTTCCCCTAAAATGTTAACTATGAGCCCTGGCCTGCAAAACATCTGTCTTCTGCTCTAAGGACACTCAAATGGATGATTTCAAGTTTGGGTCTTAAAGAATTAAACGGGATAAATAAGTACATAGGGACAAAAATAGTTTATTTTTATGATTTTATCAACAACACTTGTCCATCGGCAGTCCCTGTCAGAGGTTACACTACTATGTTTGTAAAAGGTGAACAATTGGAACAATTGGAAACCTTTTCTCTAACTGATCTAATTTGCCTGAAGAACTGTAAAGATACCACCACTGTCAGTCCAACATGCATTTTTAATTTCTGTTTTTAACATTAGCAAATAAAATTTGACAGAATAAATACTTAGTAATAATGTAACATGACTGGAATATAGCCAATCCCAGCAGTTATTTTTCCATCATGGACAGTGATCATCATTAAAAAATAGGCCTCTTCTGAAAAAAAAAAATCATTGCATATGTACAACAGATCATCCAACATCACATTTTCAAAGTGTCTAGATAAAAATGTAAAACATTGTATTAGATTCTTGGTCTGAAAGGAATGAAGTTCAGCTTATGTTCTCTGTAAACACTCATCAAAATGTAGGTGTAGAAACAATATAATGTGTAATGTATCAAGATCTATAACAATATAATAAAAAAGGGAAAAAATAAAAATGCAGGTGTTTTGAACTTTTTCTTCAGATTTATTTATTTCATTTGGTTTTGGCGCTAATAAACTCAGAGCGGCTTGGGGTGCTTCAGATAGCACAAAATGTAAAATAAGGTTCATTTGGCATTTTGCCATGAGTGTTTTCCACTATAAAAGGCTGATGTAGCACTAATTGAATAAATATGCTTGAACTGAAGCATAAAGAATTTGGCATTCATTAGTAGAAACTGTAGTTCCCCTTTGAAATTCAGGAAACTTCATTTTCAAATTATGCTAGAGAGCAGGAATACTTTCAGGGCACAAACCAGATGTTTGATTTTGCTCTGCATGTGTTAGAGGTTTGGAAGATCCAGTTCAAACTGCAGGGATTATTTCAGTCTTAATTCAGTTAGGGTCTGTAGGCAATGAATGAGACTGTCTGCTGCCCTCCAGACCTTTTTGACTTCAATTCCCATCAGTACTAGTCACATGAACTTTGGCAAGGGATTGTGGGAACTGAAACTCAAAACTTCTGCAAGGCTTCTATTGGTTTATATTGTAAATTGTAGAGTGAGCTAAATAGTAAAACTGAAATCAAAT